AAAAAAAAAAAAAAAAGTAAAGAAAGGACTCAGGAGGGGGGAGGGAGGAGGGAGGAGGGAGGAGGAAAGCTATGGCGGCAAAGGAGGAAGGGAGCCTATGGTGAGAGGGAGCGAGGAGGTAGGAGTCTGGAGGAGGGAAGCAATAGTGAGGGGAGAGGGAGGAGGAAGGAGGGAGGCTATGGCGAGGGGGGAGGGAGGTGGTAGGAGGGAGTAAATGTCGGGAGGGGATGCGCTAAGAGAAAGGAGGAAGGAGGGGCGAAGGGTAAGGAGGTAGGAGGGAGGAAGAGGGAGGAGGGAGGGCGGCATGAAGAGAGGAGGAGAAGCGAGGCGATGGAGAGGGGAGAGGGAGGGCCGCTATGAGAGAGGAGGGGGGCTAGTATGGCGGCCGATGACGTGGAGCTGGTAGGGGGTACGGCGGAAGAGGGAGGGAGGGTGCCACAGAGAGGGGAGGAGGAGGCGATGGCGACCCGTGAAGAAGTTGAAGAAGAAGAAGAAAAAAAAAAAATCGAAAAGAGGAAGAAAAAGAAGAAGAAGAATCGAAAAGAAAACGACAAAGGAGAAGAAACGAAGAAGAAACGAAAACGAAGAACACGAAGGATAAGAAACAAAGGAGAAGAAGAAGAAAAGGAAGAAGAAAAATCGAAGAAGAAGAAGAACAAATAAAAAAGAAGAAACGAAGAAGAAAAACACAGAGAAGAAGCAAAGAAGAAGAGACAAAGGAGAAGAAGAAGTGAAAAAAAAAAAAAAAGAAGCAGAAAAGAAGAAGAAGAAGAGGAAGAAGAAGAAAAAGAAGAAAAAGAAAAAGAAACGAAGAAGAAGAAGAAGAAGAATAAGAAACGAAGAAGAAAAAAAAAAACAAAAACAAAGCTTACCTTCGTGAAGATGGCGCACGACAGCACTCAAGGGAGTCCGCGGGAAGGCAGCAGGAGGACCACGACGGCGCGGCAGGTTTGCTGCAGGAGGACAGTGACGGCACGGGACGACGATGAGCTCCGCGAAGGGTGGGACGACGAAGAGAGGAGGGCGGAGTGGGCACTTGGGGGGGGCAGATCGGCCCAGGATTCGAATTCAAATTCTGGAAGCTACGCGCGCCGTTGATCGCTGGTGATCAACGACAAAAAACGATTGAAAAAAAATAAATTGAAAAGGGGCCTACTGGGCCCCAAAAAATTAAAGTTTCGGCGCGAAAATTTTTTTAGCCCTGCAGGCCAATGAGCGGCGACGCAAATTTTTTTTTTTGACGCCATTTTCGGTACGGCGCTAAGGGGGTCCGGGTGCCTGGCCGGTTGAATTGCACGACCGAGCGCCCCGAGCGCCATTCCGGGCGGGCCCGGGTGCCCCGGGCGCCCGGGGAAGGAAACCTAGCTACCTGTCTACTACGGACCCTCGGAACTTCTCAAAGTGATTGGAGGTGAAGATGGACCTTCCTATCGTATAGACGTACCCTGTGTATACCGCCGTACACATACGGCCCATCCGCACGCCCGGACGATTGATTGGTTGATTGATTGATTGATTGATTGATTGATTAACATGTGCACATTGATTGATTGATTGATCGAGCGTGAAAAAAAAAACGAAAAAAAAAAAAAATCCATTTAAAAGATTGATTGATTGATTGGCAGTGGGGGGGTCGCCTCCCCCCCCGCGAACACACACCCACACACACACACCCACACCCACACCCACCCACACACACCCACACCCACACCCACACACACACACACACACAAACGCGCGACCTTTT